TTCCCCCGCCCCTACAGCAGCCATGCCCGGTAAGTAGGTCCTGGCTGACAGCCAAAGCATCTATCCTATAAACTTTGCCTTCTTGTTAAAACAAGGCCAGCTATCCCCAGGTTTCCTGCCCGCTACTCTATACTTTACTTCACTATATATATATCTTCTATTAAAGAATTCTATATAATATTTAGTTTATTTTATTCCTTAATTTTTCTTATTTATTTTCTTAAAAGTTTTCTGTTTTATATTCTTATATTATGGCTTTATTAATATCTAAGGGTATTATATAATATAATTATAATACTTATAATCTCCTTTAGCTATTAGGTTTATTTATTTATTAATTTCTTTTATACTTTTAGGGTTTTATTTATACTTTATATTTTATATATTTTTATTTTATTACCTTTAATTAGGTTTCTATATAGCTATATATTTATTTTATTAAACGTAACTATTAATAATACTAATTATAGCTAATATTATCCACCTTATATAGCGTAATACCCTGCTTATTTTAATATAATAAATTATTAAGTATAAAAGCTCTTATACTACCTTCTTAAACCTGGTTAGCTAAGTAGTAAAAAGGGATTAATCTTTTACTGCCTTATTTTTCTAGTAAGAAAAGGGTAATAGTAGGTAAATTTATCTAGAATTTATAATATTTTATAGTCTTTTTATATAGTATACCAGGAACCTAATAGTTAGATGTGCGGAAGGCGATACTGTTCTGTTCAGCAGTAATCAACATGGCCTCTTCCTCTTGTTTGGGTTCCTTACAATCTGCCTCGCTGACTACGTCCTTTCCCAAGCCGCAACAAATATCACCGACCAGCTGGGTATGTCTAATGTCCTCTTTAGTGTTGTGATCCTTGCAATCGCCACCACTCTTCCAGAGAAGTTCGTCGCGGCATGTATGGCTACCGAGGTCACCCAGGGATACTTGTGGCAAATTGTGCCGGCAGTAATATCTTCCTCCTGTCGCTTTGTTGTGATATTATAATGGTCGACACGAATGCCGAGTCGATTGTTTTGTGGGCGTCGACTGTTGCATTTACAGGGACAGTCTGGTTTGGGGCTAGGTATTCACGCTGGATTAGTGGCGCCATGGACGCAAGCTGTATTGCCTTCATGTTCCTGGTGATGCACGGAAATTTAGATTGGGTAGCATGAGAGGCAAGAATCTGTCTTTCCGAGTCGGAAAATATCTGTGGTCACGATGGCGTAAGGCTTACGACATCGAGTCGTGCGCCTCACTTTTAGAGCCTTGTCGAACATAGGTTTCGCCGACGTGATGATGTTGTTGGCGTCGTTCAACCTGTTACGGTGCCGTGCACACAAGTACAATACACGATTAATTCTTAGTAAGAGCATAAAAGGGTAACCTAATAAAGTATTTTATATATTAAAATAATTTAACTATTTAAGTTATTTAAATAGATTAAATAACAGAAAGTATAACTAGGTTAAAATATAACCTTATTAGTTATTATATACTACTAATAATACAAATAAATCCTATAAATTATTTAAGTATAGGTTAGTAAGTACTACTTATATTTAAGTAGTATAAAGTAAGCTAGGCACTTTATTTTTATACCTATTTATATATT